GTTGGTTGTATGCCCTCACTCTACCTGAGGTGTTTCTGTATAGGGCTTTCAGGATGTTAACAAATTTCTCAGGTACACCTCTCTCTAACAGACAGTTCCAGAGCACAGTTCTGTCCAACGAATCGAAGGCAGCCCTAATATCAAGAAACACAACGATCGTTGGCCTGCAATACGTGTGGCGGTGTTCCAACAACTGACGAAGGGTGAACACATGATCAATGCATCCACGACCTGAACGAAACCCAGCCTGCTCTTCGCGAATCAATCCTTCACGTATTTTGCACAGTCTGCGAAGCAAGACAGCAGCCAATATTTTAGACGCGACTGGTAACAGACTGATACCCCTATGATTGTCACACGAATTACGTCGACCCTTTTTAAAGATGGGGACGATAATGGCTTCGTTCCACATTGATGGTACACTCTCTGTCTCCCACACCTTCCTGAACAACCCAGTTAGAGCCATTGTGAGAGTCTCGCCACCATCTTTAAAAAGAGCCGGGGGTAATTTGTCTGGGCCGGGCGCCTTATGGCGTTTCAGAACTTGGAGTTCCTTACGGACCTCCGCTTCGGTGGGTGGGTCGGTACTAACCGACCAAGGAGCACTCGGGCTAATGATAGTAGACACTGAAGCTGGTGGCCAGCTGAACTGCTTCCCGAAGTGCTCTGCCCAGCGTTCCAGGCGTCTTTTCAGGCTGGTAATTGGAGTGCCATCTGCCTCACAGACCGTCTCGCTGACACCTTGTTTCTTGCTGCCGGTGGCTCGTATGAGTTGGAACAGCTTCCGACTGTTGCCAGATGCAGCAGCTGACTCCATCTCACACGCACGTTCTGACCACCAGGCTTCGCGGTCCTTACGTAAACACTGTCTAATCTTGCGCGTGAGCGCCTTTCGCTGATTGTTGTATTCGCTGCCAGCCGGAATGGACCGGCGTTCATCCATGAGTTGCAAGGAACTCGCAGAAACCCAGTGGTTGTTAGCGGAGCATTCTTTCAAGCCGCAAGCGGCTACACTCGCCTTTTGCATGGCACCTTGCACATGAAGCCAATGTTCATCTATACTACTTGGGGGGTTGCTGGCAAGCATTGTTTTTAACTCATTCTGATATTTCAAAGAAGTAGCAGGTGCTACTAGTTTGCTCACATCAACGCTTAGACGACGGCTTTTACGAACCCCACCAAATCGCAAGACGAACTTGGCACACACTAACGCATGATCGGAGTCCAGGCATGTGCTCCAGAAGGAGCGACAGTCTTGTATGCATCCTCGCCACCGGAAACTGACCGCGATATGATCAATCTGAGTCCAAGCTTGCTTCGCAGAGGGAGGACGCCAGGTAGCGCTACGGCGATGGCTGTGCCGGAAGTTGGTGCTAGCTAGAAATAGGTTGTGATCCGCGCAAAGCTGCAGAAGACGGTCCCCATTATCTGACCTGCGACCATGTAGTCCCCACTGACCACCTAGACGATTCTCCTCTGAGCTTAGACGCCCCACCTGTGCATTCAAGTCCCCAGCCAGCACTACGATATCCCTCCGACCCGCCTGTTTCAAGAGATCGCTCAGTTGGTAGTAAAACTCATCCTTCATTGCATCCGGGCTGCAATCCGTCGGTGCATAGGCAGAGACAACAAATAGACACCGCCTATCTGGCCTACTACTCCTTACTTTCGTATAACCTTCCAGCCTCACAGCACATAAACGACTGTTAATGGGAATCCAGTCGAGCAGTGCAGCTTCGGCTCTAGCGCTCAGTGCGACACCGACACCAGCTACGCCGGATGCCGACGCCACAGGGTCCCCGGATAAGCGCAGGTGGTACATACTACTAGAACTTCCAGATGGAGAGGATAGTCGAAGCACTTCACTGGGATCTTGAATGCGGGTCTCCGAAATGCAGCAGACATCGATAGCGAGGCTTTCCAAAGTTCTTGCCAACCCTGCCTGTTGTCCGATTTGCATCAGCGTCCGAACATTGTAGGTAGCCAGCTTGAACGCAGCACGCGGTTTCAGGATATCCGTGTTAGATGTCACATTGGGAACAACCATTTTGAGGACTACTCACTAACATCTCGAAACGACACGGATAGGCTGGGAATCTCGACAAAGGCGAAAGGCTGTCGAAGGTTAAGAAGCCAAGGTTAGAAAAGGTACAATACAGGAAACTATGTATAAAAATAAAAGTAGGGTAGGAAGGAAATAAGTTCCTTGAGGGATCAATATTGCTTGGAATCATTTTTACTAGCGCGCGTTGAGTTTCAATGGGAGTTCGTTGCTTTAATTCATTCATTGTGTGCGGGCTGAGATACTGCCCGGGCGCCCAGACCGAAGCAGGTGGTTTTATTAAGGGACCACCCCCGAGCCTTTGACTTGGAGTCTAATCCGCAAGGCAGCGGAGCAGCGTCAGGAGCTGCATTCCCATGGTTGCCGGTGACCCATGTGGGTTCATACGCCATTTGATCCGATTGGAAACTGGAGCCCATGTACCCCATGGTAACTGCTTTTAGTTTAACCGCTATCCAGAAAACCTTCCTGACATGGTAGGACCTGTAGAGACAGAGTCCCAGTCAGTTCAGCTTGTTGGGTCATTGCAGTATTGAAGCCCGACCACCACGACAAGGTAGCAGTTATCGCCCGGGAAGCCGATAACTGGAAGCCGACAAAAGCGAGGTGTTTTCTTTGACTTTTCAGCAAAAAGGAGCATGTATTTAGGAGATGAGTCGTGGAGAAAACATTTGCTGAAAACTCCCGTTTTGCTCACCTTGAAACTCACTTGTAAACTCTGATCGACTGATTGTCGATTTTGAGGATGTTCAACTCCAAGTACTTCTTGATGTGGTATACAAGTAATGGAACAAGTCGAGGTCACATCGGTACTCCATGTTTCCGTCAGTGTTTTCCACCAATAAACAAACACGGAAATTCAGTGCATATTAAGGTATTTGTTATATTCGGTTAGTCTATCACCATTCAGATTATTTTAGTCAGTAAAGCGACATTTGGAGCGCCAAGTTTCCGTTGAGATCTGTCTGGATTCAACATAGAACTTGGCACCGAAGTGCAGCAGTTCGAGTTGCCACCTTCCAAATAGCACACAGAGGTAGACAAGAAGATGAGTGAAGAGAATTAATAGAGTTTGACAAATATAAGAGTGAAACAGAATGGGTAATGGTAGAAAGGAATATGAAAGATTACAGAGATTGAGATAATATTGTTTAGTGCGAAAACTACACCAGTTGAAACCATAGTCCGTCAGACACTTTCAGTTGCCTGCCCAATCCACTTGAAATCGGACGAGTGAAGTATATTATCCTGGACAGCTTTCGTCGTTTGATGTGACATTGGTTTTCCTCGGAACCTTGTAAATATATTTGCAAAAGAACGATTGTATTTGCGGCAGCACAGTTTTAAGACCTGTTGGGGTGAATATCTTCTACATTTAGCATAACGCAGTATTATACCTGTTGCATCTATATATATATATATATATATATATATATATATATATATATATATATATATATATATATATATATATATATATATATATATATATATATATATATATATATATATATATATGTTGAGTGTTGCTATAGTTATATGTGTACATGTGTTTATTGTCCATGTATTTGTGGAGACAAGTATGCACGCGGTCCACATTTGTACACCGAGAAGTATTCTCAATGTCCATTGATTATCAAGTTTACTTTGACTGATAGAAATCACCTGGGATCCTTTTGACTTTCCAAAGACAGTGAGGAATAATTTGATTGACAACTGTCACGCATCTAACTTTTGATTTGTTGCTGATTGAGTCAGTCGCTTCCTGGAGAGCTCAGTGGTGTCGTCTGTGACTACAGCACCTAGTCGCAAATCTCAAATTGCATATGAGTTCTCTCAAGATTGCCTGGCTGACGGGTGCCAGAGAACACGGAACCTAAGTTCAGGTCATCCTACCGACTCCCTTTACCTAACCTTCTTTACCTGTCTAAGGAGAAAAGGACTTTTTTCCTCTTAAATACACATATATGTGTTCCTTCGGTTCAAAGGTTACATAAGATTGACTAAAAGTGATAAGCTCAGTTATTAATGGCTTACCGATACAAGATTTAATAAGACGCTATGTACACCACTGACCTATGGTTCAGAATCTGAAGAACTATTTATACCTTATGTGATGGCTTGTACTGGATAGAAATAACGTGGAATAATTGCTTTTTAAAGCAATTGATAATTGTTAAGGACTAAGCGGTACATCAAATTTTAAACAAGAAAATGTTGCAAATAATCTGCCATTTCAATATTTAAAAATTACTGTCAGCTGAACAACTTTCGAGCAGATGAATATCACCCGTTTGTTTTCTGTGGATTGGCGTGCTAATGAGTGAGAGTTGAATAGTTTTGTTTGCAGTCTGGAACCGACATTTATTTTTGTGGACCAGCTGGCGTCTTATTCATTAAACTGTATAGGAGTGCTACAACTTCTCTTGGAGCCGCTAAAGTTCAAAATGACAAAACATAAGCTGTACTTCGCTAACTTATGAATTAATTGACAGAGCAGACTAACCTGTAGAGTTTGAATGACTGACATCATCCACAATGGGCTAGGTTATGTGATAAAGCTACTCCAAATATGTAATCACAGCGTTAATGAATTTAACACTATGAAAACTGTAAAATATATTTTTTTCCTTCACGTTCCCAGTGGAACTTAGGGCTTCAAGCTAGAGGCTTGAAGTTTCTGTAGCAGTGTTTACTTTTACAGTATGAGGTTGATAGCCTCGTGCTCAACTTTTTCTCTTTACCGGCTATTACTACTGGTTTGGCGAGGTAAAGGAGTGGGTCAGTCGAGGATCGAACCCCAGACCATGTGCATGGTTGGCGAGAGTCCTAACCACTGTGACACCGACGCAGGGTCCATCACATTAAAAGCTGGTCCACTCAAATGTGAAATGTAGTGGACATTCATCATCAGAAAACCCAAGAAACCATTTGTTAAATGACTTTTAATGTAGTGGGTAGAAATCTCTTCAAGGTATTACAGTCAGACTGTTTCGAATTGAAGGAGTCGAGTCCATTCATACCGTACAAACGTAAGTCTATACAGAGACATTCGTTCAAACTTTCGACCTAATATCTAACTTTCACCAACTTTCCACTTTATTGCATATTTATTCCTCACCACACTTGTTTTCAGTTGAACTTTCGGATAGAATGCACTTGTTCCGGTTAACTTTATGCCATTCAACGGAACCACTTCATTTACGGTCAGCCCACAGTTGAGTAATGTTTCGCATGTTAAATTATACTTTCATGCTCGTTTCATTATTAAATATTACTCTGTGTTATCCTCAAGAAACTAGAACTAAGTCAGAGAATTCAGTGTAGAAATTCAGTGTTCATGAGGTGATAGTGCTTAACAATTTCGAAGAAACAAAAGTATAACCTGCAGTCGACAGGCATATGAATATTGTCTGTAAATATAAATCCAGTTGAAATCTAGAGTGAAAAAATGGCACTGTTCCTCTACATTTCCGTGTATTACACTACAAGTTATTGTGTTCTATCGACAAAACGATTCATGCAGTGTCATCATAAATGATTCTTGTGCGAAAAGTTCAAGCTCCTTCGTGACAAGAGGTCAGGAATTCTCTGAAACGCGCGATAATCAATCTTTCTGTAGATGACGCAGACTGGTCAAATCGTAACTTGAATTAGGGAAGAAGAAAATTTTTCCAATATAATCGTACCATCACCAGCACAACATCAGCATCAATCTCCGCAACAACAACAGAAACAAATATCACAATGTCTACCGTCGTCTAGTCATTATCACCAACAGCATTTGATGAATTTCACTTCACCAGTGGAATTTAATAAGTTGATTAATGCCACAGATCATCATGGTAGATCCTCGCACCTACCGAATTCTTTAATGTCAAATATATCGTCTCTTAGTAGTTCAGCTTCAAGTCAAGCTGGTAGTCTTAATCGACGTGTCCCTCGGTGTAAATCACCGCGTACATGTATGTGGCCATCCTACAATTTGGCATCAGCTCCTAATACAAATAGACAGCATTTTACTCAGTTGCCAGGTCCATCAAATACAGATGTTCGAAATACTGGTTTATGTCCACAATTAGGTGTATTATCAACCAATTCAGTTAGTTCAACATGTTCTCCAAATCAGAATAGTAGTCAGTTTTCACATTCAAGAAATCGTCTTATTGCTGGTCATTTGCAAACTGTTGCAGCTCATTTTTTGGGTTCAGTAGTAGCTGCTCCTGGTGCCGCCGCTGTGGGTGGTGCTGGTAGTACCTCTTATCCAAGAGATAAAGGTCGTCATCGAAGTGGTAGTCCTATTTCCTCTGAAATTGGACAATATTCTATGCATATTTTGAGAGAATTATAATTCACCAACTAACACTACTACTGCCTATATGGAGTCAATCTCATCAACTTATCCTGGCCGATGTAGTTCTTTTAGTGGTGGTAGCTGTATGAGTAATATACTGAATAAAACAACTATCGCCTCTGGTGGTGGTGGTGTCGGTGTTGGTAGTTTGTCTATATCCAGTCAAAAACAAGCCATGTCCGGTGGTGGTGGTGGTGGGGCTACATCGAAATCGGTACTGTTAGGTGGACGATTGCCTGGAATCTGCCAAAATATGCCTTCTCATAAATCCAATGTCGTATGGGATAATTTTGAATCGGAGACTAATACTAACCTACTTGAAAAGCAACAAGAGTACTTTTCATCGAATTGGCCATGGTCACCACCAATGGATACAGGTGTTGGTGAAATAAGTGAAACAGACACTGATATCAGCAACTTTTTAGATCATTGTCAAATGCCACTAGTCGGCAGTGGTGGTGTTAGCAATTCATCGTCTATTGGTATACGTGATGATACAAGTCGTGATAGTGGATTAGTTCTTGACATGACTATGCCACCAACATCACCACTTGATGAATAAAACTGTGGTGGATATCTAAGTGGTAATCTGGACTCCGAGCTGTTATCACAATTGACTCAGTCGACAACATCACAACATCATCGTATTCCATCTTCTGGTCTTTTCGATGATATACAACATTCTGGATGTTGTTCAAGATATTCACAAAAAGTTTTTCATTCACCATAAGATGATGGTTTTCTTTCAGCACATTCGGCATCAGATCAAGATCATCACCCCAGTCATCATCATCCACATTCACATCATCCTCACCATGATCATCAGCATTCTGTGTTAATAACGGGTGGTAGTGGTGGTTGTCAGACAAATGTGGATTGTTCATCATTGCCGAAGTCGTATGACTCAAGTTCTATGGTGAATATGCTGAGCACAGGAAATAACAATAATACTAATAATAATAATAATAATCAAGATATGAAAAATATTCACATGTATTCACTTCTAGACTCGATTACTTCAAGGTCAGATGGTTTACAGTCAACGAGTAGTAGTTATTTACAACAACAACAAAGTATCCTACAGTCTGATCATTTAATGAAGCCTACTCGACAAAAAGTGGTGGTAGTAGTAGTAGTACTGGTTGGCCATCATTGTCAAGTTTTGCTGATGATATTGGACATCAGCATAGTTCGCCTACATCCTCTCCAATATTAATGAATAATAGCAATATTAACAATAATACTAATGCAAGTGCTAATCGATTTTTTTCAGTTGTTGGCACATCGTTGGCAGGTGCTAATAGCTACCATAATTAGCTCTCAGGATAGACGACTAGAACGCTGGAAAAAGCATTATGAGGAGTAGTTTAATTGGCCCACAGCCACGCTCAACCTGCCGAACATCCAACACCTCCTTGAATGGGATATAGACACAGGTCCTCCGTCACTAACTGAGGTTACTTAAGCTGTCACCAATCTGAAACAAGGCAAAGCAGCGGGGCCTGATGGAATGAGTCCAGAGGTATTCAAGTACGGTGTAGAAAGTTTACTGTCTGCATTAACTGGGGTACTAGGCAGCGTCTGGAAATCAGGAGAAGTCCCATCGGGTTGGTGTAAGTCACTGATTACCCCCATATACAAGAAGGGAGACAAGTCTTCCTGTGCGAATCACAGAGGGATTAACTTGACTAATATAGTATCTAAAGTCCTAGGCTCAATAATCAATAATCACTCGAAAGCCACAAACACGAGAGAGCCAGGCAGGCTTTAGACCAGGAAGAGGGTGTACTGATCATATCTTCACCCTCCGACAGATTCTAGAACATAGGCATTCCTACCGGCGTCCAACAGTCATTATATTTCTTGACCTAAAGGCGGAATTCCATTCTGTCGACCGGGAGGTTCTCTGGAGATGCTTGGTTGTAAAGGGAATTCCAAGAAAATACATTGCACTGATTGAGGCACTCTACTCGTACTCATACAGCCAGCCGGGTGAGGGCTTACGGTGAGTTGTCATCTGAACTGGTGACGACTAGTGGTGTCCCTCAAGGATGCCCATTATCCCCATTTCTATTCAACTTCATCATAGATGTTCTAATGGACTTAACCCTAAGTGACCACAGCGACTCAGGGATTGACTTGCTACCAGGGAATAATTTCGTTGACTAGGAATATGCAGACGATATAGTCCTACTAGGCGAGGACGCTGACAAAATGCAGAGTCTTCTAAACACCTTGAACAGCAATCTACGAATGTTTGGCATGCGATTCGCTCCCGCCAAATGCAAGATGATGTTACAGGACTGGACTACATCGACGCCTAGTTTAAAAATAGGAAGTGAAGTGGTAGAGCACGTTGACCGCTTCACTTATTTGGGTAGCACCATCAGCCCCAACGGGTTGATCTCTGACGAAATCTCAGCACGGATACAGAGGGCTGGTTTCGCATTTGCCATTTTACGCCGTCTTTGGCGTAGACGAGATATTCGACTATCGACCAAAGGGCGTGTGTACTGCTCAACAGTCCACTCCATCCTCCTTCATGACTGTGAGCGAGACCTGGCCATTGAGAGTGGAAGACATGAAAAGGCCGGCTGGCTAGCTGTCTTTGATCACACTATCTCTCGTGTGTGTGAAGTGGTATAATAGGGTGAGCAATATTGAGGTTAGGCTTCGGTCGAGTGCTAGGTAGATATGGAGGGGAAATCAAAAGACGAGGCTGTGAAGTCACATCGACTGAGATGGTTAGGACATGTTTTACGTATGCCTGTCCAGCCATCACCTTGTTCGACAATATGCAATGTTAGCTGACATAGGGTCAGTTTGGAAAAGTTAGACAGTGGTGATCAAACCAGAACATGGTTTCATCAGTCAACGAAATCCATAACAGTCAGTTTAAGCCGGCCGGCCAGCCAAGTAGAAAGGTATAGACTTCCTGATCGGTTGGGGTCTTCAGGATGGTAAAAACCAATGAAGGCTGGGGACAATTTGCGATATGGCTCAGGAGCGTTCACAGTATTGGCGCATATGCATCCACTCCTTGTGACTTATACTGCCTAATAAAACTATATTGTTCTTCCATATTACTCTTCTCTTTGCCTTATATCTCTGTTTACCGTCTGTAATTTGCACTTTCCCTCTCCTCTTGCTTTGTGTGCTACATCCAGTGTGGCGACTAGAACTGCTGCACATTTGTGCAGAGTTTTATGTTGAAAGCAGACAGTCAGTGTTTTGTTTCTCCCGAGCACCACTTAGTCTACGCATGATTGTTGGGCATAGGACTTTAGACAAGTTGATGCCGCTATGATTACCACAGGGAGACTTGTACCTCTTCTTGTAAGCCTAAGTGACTAACCTCTGTCTCCACCTAATTATATCACTTTTTCATACTCTCACCCTGTCCCAATCTACTTTGTGATTACATGCAACGCAATGGCAACGAACGAACATATTTACGGGATAATATGATCTCAGTTTATTTCGCGGATTCTTTTCAGCTGCACACATACTGCGAATCCAAGCAAGCTCATATTATCATAAAAAGATGTTCGTTCTTTCCTCATTTAAACTGTCTGTATGAAATATACTATTTTTCTCGGTTGGATACCCTGACTCTACTAATGAAGTGAATCATAACCGACTTCAGCGACTCACGGAATAACATGTTACCAGGTTGACTAGGAGTATGGGGATGATGCAACCTTCCAAGTTAAAGACACTGACAAAAAGTAGTTTTCTGAACACCTTGAACAGCAATTTGATTTCGCACTTATCGCGGTAGAAGTGAAGTGGAAACACACGAAAACAGTGACACTGGAAACATGCACGAAAATTTGAATGCCCAGGTTAATTGACAACAATGCGAGTGAATACACCAAAGCTTTATGTGTGAGAAAATTATATACAAAAACAACGACACAAAAAGGGTTCGAAAAGTCAATCTACAACATCACAAATGATGAGAATGTCCGAATAGTTTATACGCAAATGTTACACGACGTTCAAGTTAAGATCTTTGAAAACCGGGATAGGATTTAGTTTTCTTCAACAGACGCTACGCTGTCTTCCTTAGGTGCTGTTAATTGTATGCTATTATAATGAAAAGAGAAAAGTTTGTATTAAATAACACCTGGAAGATCACCAATGCATATATGAGAGAAAAAAGGTTATGCATTCAGTTATATTACTCAGTGTGTCTAATGACATCTCAACAATAGGGAAATTGGTCTAAAAGAAGTATGCTAATACGCATATCCAACCAACCAAAATCGATCAGTACATACAGTCTGACGATTATGTTAGCTGGTTACTAACTCGTTGTTATAACACGCACATCACTCTCAACTCCTGTACTGTTGGATGAGTGGTTTGATGTTTTATCCTCGGAACTCGACATACATCCGACACTCTCCTCAAAATCCCGGATAATAAACCTAGATATATTGAGTGGTAACAAGCAAAGGAGTGTGACCAGAACCTCCCTACAAATCACCTTTAATTTCTAGCATTGAATGGAGTTTACCCTGAGGTAATGTCATTTAGCTCAATGGTCACACTACACATGCACTTACAAAGCAGTTTCCAAAAATCCAAACAGATACGTTATTGAAAGATGATAGTGATAATAAAGATGACATAGAACTACTGTACAAATTAAGTCCACACAACTGCAAAGACATTTACAAACAACCTTCCGTGAGGTAGAGGACGACCGTCACAACATTAAATTCTACATCTCAATTTGCTAGTAAAATTCAATTATTATGCACCAGAGAAAAGTACGCAGAGTAGCATGAACTGACTCAATCGACACTTTGAAAAAACATACTGCGGGATACAGTATTCACCGCGAATATTTCCCATACACAACGTACATTACACCAAAATCCAGTCACAAACAAGAATTCTGCATCCAGCATTACACAACTCTTATTCTTCTATACTTGGAGAAATGATAACTAATGGGAACGTTCTACTGTGTCGTGTTCTGTCTGTGATAACGTACACCAAAAATTAGAATGTAAAACGACCTCCTGAAGATAATCGTAAATTCAAGTTATAACTGAAAATAACGAAAACAACAGAACAACTTAGCAAACTGACAATTCCATGTAAATTTAATTAACATGAGAAAATAAACTGTAAATAGAATGTGGGGCACGAATCTTCTTACCTGAGATTGCAAATCAGGAGTTAACTAACATCAAAACAACAACCCCAAAACACTTCGGATCAGTGCATGCCAACCGCTGAAGGTAGGACACCGGAAAACAGAATCATCACCCAATCTCTTGTAAGCAATATGATGAAACCTCCAAGTATATGGGTTTATCAGGTTGTTTCCGCGTAACTCGAACAGATGGTTTTGTCATAATACTGGGTAAGTAATGGCCAACGCTCATCGACTTTGTTGAATGTGCAAAAAATACCTCCATAACCGGACGATTCCCACATTCAAAATTGGAATACACTCCAGCTATCCCAGCAGACTTCTCAGCATCCGATGAAAGAAATTTCGAGTTTAGAAACCCATCAATGAGAGATGACTGAACTGCATCTGGAACACAGATTGACGAACCAGTGAATCGTTCGGCAGAACGCTGAGCAAGCTGGGTTCTTACTAACTGCTCACCGGTACCAGAAGTGACAACACCAACTCCAGAAGACGGGCTGAGTTCTTCGGCCCAGCAACCACATCCGTATATGCATGTCTGGCCGACACGGCCTTCATATTTCATTGCAATGCCACCACTAGACACCGCAGAAGCAATATTCCCTTCTAAGTCAACACATACAGCACCCACGGTGTCAAAGCGAGATCTCTTGGATTCACACAAATAGCTATATTCCGACATAGAATGGGTGGATTCCGTATTCTCATCTGTTGGTTCACCGATGCCTAGCCAACTTCTGTACTTCTCCCACGATAATTGTGAAGCCTTTGTGGTGAGATTACAGTTATCAATAGAATATCCTTTTGAAGCTGCCCAGAGGTGAGCCCCATCACCAACAAGTACAGATGGCGGGACACGTCCAAGTTCACCCAAAGGGCAATCGATCTGTGATTGCAGAAGAAGTCGTGCCACTTTCACAGGATTTCGTATATCTCGAACGGCTCCAACTCCAGCAAACCGACGCGCAGAAGCACTCATTATTCCTGCATCACATTCAACAAACCCGTTTATAGTTAGATTACTGCCGATTCCTGCATTGGTCAGTGGGCAGTCTTCTAAGTAGGCAACAGCAGCCTCTACAGCATCCACAGCATGCTTACGTTCAACAGTCAGAAGCTCGGAGGCAATTAAACAAGCTTCAGAACATAATCTATTATACTTCTTCTCATTAGATTTTGAATGGTATCCTGCACCCGCATGGACAACAACACACGCCATGAAACGATACTACAAGATTATCCCGTTGAAGTCCTTGAAATGAAACAAAACAGAAACAATAGTAATCATAATAATAGTAATAGACAGTTAAGGGAAGACGATGTGAAGCAATTATTCAAGTCTGCATACAAATCGCAGTAATTTCTCCACCAACAACAGTTCAGCGGAACTACTTTCAATAGCCTAGAGTCAAAGTGAATTGAATTGTTGAAAGTCGTTTATTTCAATACACACCTTATGTGTACATGACCAGTTACAATACACCACTGTATTAATAAGTTTCTGTCTGTTTTCAACATAGAACTTTGCACCGATGTGCAGCAGTTCAAATCGCCACACTCCGTGTAGCACAAAAAGCAAAAGAAATGCAAAATAGAGACAGTAAACAGGGAATTAATCAGTTTACACAACTGTATAGATAAACCTAGAAAGCATTGATATGTAACTGTATCCGGGAGCTCAGACAGTTTCCAAACACACGAATATCAAAACTTGTATAGAAAAAGTGTACAAAGTGTATTTATTGGAGAATTGGGATTTAATCACAAGAACAACCTAAAGATGGAATTCATAGCATTGCATAGGCATCAACCTTCGAGAATGTTGGTTCTCAATTACGCCCTAAACACAGAAAACCAGTTTATTGTCTTTTGTGTTTCAAAAAGAATATTTTCACAGTGAACCTTATTCGACAGGCTCAACGCTGAAATAGGAAGATGAACTTTAATATAATACACTATCTAGAAAAGGGAAGATTTAGGACGAAACTTCTTTCCCTTTGTATGCATTTATTGTAGCGAGATGAAAATGACGAATAAACAGGTTGATCAATGTGTAACACTGCACATGAGCACATTCATTTAAACTGTTTCACCCACACAGACAAGGGAAGGGAACAGAAACTGAATTATACGAGGTGTGCAAGAGAGCATCAAAATAAGATTAGTAGAGATACTCAGAATTCCGAAGGTTATGCGAAGGAAATCCACCCACACATCTGGGGTTGATTTCCAACCATGTCATCATAAGTCTGCAGCCTGAAGGCCCTAGAGAGGCGACACTTAACTTCTCAGGCTCTAAAACTAAGTGGATCGGTGTTAGGTTCGGTTTCACCATCCGTGAATCTTTCCAACACAATCGCACGTCAGCTGATATTTCCCATTAAAGATCGCAATAATTCGGTATGTCTAACATGTGTCCTGGTCATAGTGACGGATATGTGTTCATTTCACCCGATTGATTTTCTTTCCTTACCTAACACTCTATACTTACTTTACTTTACTTCGGCTATCTCCTACGGGAGGATGAGCCGGTTTCATGAACGTCTCGAATCATCGCTGCCCAGGCGCGGCAATTTGTAAGAGAGTTCATGAAGTTTCATGGGAATTTGGTACGAGTGATGTCCCCAGCATCGCTCTATGTCTAATCCCAATACTACCTACTGTGTCGCGTCACTTTGAACAACCAACGAGACGAAGAAACCTATAGACACAAACCTGCAATTTCTCAACAGGTGCTCCCAGTGGTAATAACTCAAGCGTTGAGTAGAACAAAGAAAACTGCTGCCTGATAACTCACTGCCGCCAAACATGACATCAGCTGGCGACTACCAAACTAGTCCGTTGTATTGGTGTCCACATTGCGTCAACACCCAGTCCATTAAGGCTAGTGCCACTTCCCAACGAAACCATACATCCATGAAAACTTGTAGCACAACACTTCCTCTCGTAATGAATCTATTGTATGACTCAACTCAGTCGCTCTTGAACTCTTTAAACTGGAACACATTTTCATATGCAAGATCGTGAATCACAATTGTGGAGAAGTTGATGACAGCGCAGGTCAGAACAGGTGGGGATGGTACGGAGTAAGTGGTCCACAAGCTCAGAATCGAGTGCATCCAGTCAATGAATTGAATTTAAATAGTCACTAAGTTTGACTAGATAAGAGGTTCAAATCACTTCATAGAGAACCACGGATAAGGCCCTAAACTTAATATCAAACACTATGAAAGGAGGAAGTACACAGATTCTGGGAGCATTTGACCTAATGCAAATTCACTACTGACAGTTGACTGTAAGCAAATTGTCAAAGAACTGCTTAGTAATACTCGAACCACATTATATTATCCACCTATGGAATAATTTAGGTTAAAAATCCACATACTTGTAGACATCCAAGTAATTATACTCCCTAAAACCATTGACAACAGATGTTCAGCATTTGTTTCTCTTTCGTTTTCACGACAGAGGAACATATCTGGTCAGTATATGATTTCAACCTATATTCTCAAAACTGACGAATTTCCTTTAAACTGCCTTAACATAATTCTCTGCACAACCAGCATTAATAAGAGCTCACTCTGACAAGCAGCACGACGAATCCACATCAAAATAAGCCAGGTGAAAATTAACTTCCCAAAACCATCCATTTGATACTACCTGAATTGACTGACGTAAATGGTAGTATACAACCCAATATCATATGCATACAGTCATGATGAAAAGACGCACTAATGACAACACCTCAAATAAAGAAGCATAGCATCAAGTAAATTATCAACTCACTATTCTGTTTAGGTACTCTTACGCATTTACATAAATCCACATTTTCTCATTTTAGATATCAAGCATTTGAATATTCGTGTCTCCGACAGGGAATTGAATTAATTGAAGTACTTTCCATCTCATTTGGAGTGAATCAGAGCCTAACTTAAATATCCCACCATCATTTTTATTTCCTTGGTGTGATGATAACATTTTCGAAGGAATACGATGTGTATGTCGTGTTTCTGCACTTCTCGATTCAACTCTGCCGTCTCACAATCACTCCAAATTTCACTACATTGTATTTAACATTCTTACTCAACTAAGGAAATTCTGATTCTAAAGGAAACGGGTCATATTGTTCCACATCGATAATATGCTTTGGGAAAGGAGCAGTGCGGTTGTTGTTGGCATAAGTTTTAAAGGAAACAACTTCATCATATAACTATTATATGTACATCTAATGTGGGAAGCGACGCCAATTCTAAATGCGTGATTTTTATTCAATAACTTTACACAAAAATTCGGGTGGGCAGGAGGATAACTTTTTCAGGAAATTTACGCACTAGCAAGTTATATCTAACTTTTCGATAGAATTGCAAACATTTCCCAATGCGCATTTAAAACAAGCGAAAAAGGTTAATAAGGCAGGATTTAATGGATTCAACAAGTCTCGGTAGAACTCTTCCTCAGCTGAACACTCAACATTCAGGGATAAATATACTATTGGAAATACATTGGGAGATATAAGACTGAGGAGGAAATAAACTACATTGAACTATTCATACAAATAAACAATTGTCTATCCACGTTGACCGCTAACGTGATTGGTAAGTGCTCTTTCACTACTACCAATACCGATGAGTTACACGGATTTTCTTTATACAATAAAAACTAGTTACATTTACTGGAGACATTCGTTAGTTCTTATCTAATCTAGTTTTGAACTCCCCAAGTGAGTAAAAATCTCCAGAATAATGTCTAGTGCCCACTGGAGATCAAGATGCACAGTATTTAACAAAGAAACGAGATATGCAGGTTTTTATTCCAAGCACCTCGAGAGTCAAGAATGGCATGCCATTCCTCATATTAAATATTGCCACACATTAAAGTCTTCTCACACCTGTCTATGAAAGCACAACAAAGATGCTACACATCTGACAGCTTACTCAATCTAAGGAGCACTTAAGACGCTGCAGCCGTCTTACACAACAGTATCGTCTCATCATTAGATAAAAGTGCCAAATACATCCGCTGCACGTTTTTCGACTTCACTTCTGCTTTCGACTCTGTACCTAGATGTCTCTTGCTAAAAGAGCTCTATGACACTAACTGAGTCCTGGGTCACTAACTGGTTGCATTTCTACTTCTCTAACAGAATGCAGTACACTGCATACAAAGCCAAATCCTCCTCTGCTGTGCTCACTGAAGCTGGTGTCCCCCAAGGTGCTGTACTCTCCCCACTTCTCTTTTCTTTCTTTCTACATCTTCAAATGACATTAACTTTGTCAAATATTCTGACGACCTGACTGTATCTTTGCCTGTCAAATATCAAAGTGACTGCTCTAAACTAAATGGCTTTTTATCAGAAATCAGCCAGTGGTCCAAGGAAAACGGTCTTACCTTAAACCCCTCCAAATGCCAAACAGTCAATTTCACCTTTAGGCATAAATCTGACCTGAACAAACTGGTTAGCACTCTCGAGGTGTGCAACAGATGGCACTGAAATAGAAACCAAGTAGGAAATAAAGTACCCAGGCGTCATTGTATCTGCTGATCTTTCCTGGTCGTCTTGATGATTTCTAAGAAAATATTCCGTCTTACCTTCTACATCAAGAAGTTAAGACATTCTGGTATAACCCAACCCTTACTACTACAATTCGTTAACTCTCGCATTCTGCCTATTATTCTTTATTGTTCCCCCTAGTTTTTCCAGGGCTACTGAAGAAAGACTACACCTTATTACGCAGAATGTTAAAGGTTGTCGGCAGGGTAAGCCACAGGGTGCCACTTAACCAGCTTGTTAATATTCTGGTATACAGGCACTTGGACTCATGTGAAAAATGGGCAAAATCCATTTTATCTAACTCACACTACCCTCTTCATTCACAACTCTCCCCTTGTATCTTATCAGGCAAAACCAGAAGCCTATATAGAAAACTATATGCTCGCACTAGTAAGTACAAAAACTCAACCATACCCTACTTAGCTCGTTCGTGTTCTGTGCGATAAAGAGAGTATTAGGCGTGAAACCTATAACTTATTAAATAGTCAGTAGAACAACTGGATCTCGTCTTTCCAACTCATATCATTTACAGATACAACGTTTTCTTTCTTTCCTTCTCTCCCTCTTCTTTTCTCTGTTATGTGCTGCTTTGTTTCTTTCTTCCTTGCTAACTCTATTTAAAACACTCTTCGTTCTGTGACACTGTATATCTCAACCTTTTGTTACCGCTTACGCCAGTAAATATGCTAGCATCTACTTTTCTAACACCTTCAAACATTCTGTTCAATTTTGGCTTTGCTACCGACATGCCAATATGTTGTTGTCATAATGAACTGAGATTACCTTAATCTATGTTGAATTTTATTTATTGATAATGTACTAACTGGATGCTGAGAATTCCATTCTGTACCACAAGTACTGTTTTGCAACAAAGCAAATTATTATTAGTGGTCCTCTTCAAACGGTCTTAAGCTAAATCCGTCTAAATGCCAGGTAGTCAATTTCACTCTCAGCCGGAAACATGACCTACAACAAGTAGCTAGTTCACATGGCCCCACTGTCATTGACGGCATAGAGGTTGAAATTACATCTGATTTCAAGTACCTTGGACTGAGTATTTTCTCCGATTTTTCCTGGTCCTCCTACATCATGCTAGTTACTGGAAAGATGTTTCGCCTAACAATCGACGTTAGGAAGTTAGGGCAGTCTGGTATAAAGCAGTCTTTGCTTTCTCAGTTTGTCAATTCTTGTATTCTATCCATCCTTCTATACTGCTCCCCATTAATCTTTCCTGGACTACCTAAGATTTTGCCTTGCTGAGAAGGGCACTTAAAAGCCGTTAGTAGTTCAAGTGGGATATCGTTAAACCAACTGGTTAACACTATTGTGGATAGACATATAATGTCATGTAAGAAACTAGCGAATACTATATTGTCAGACCCGCAGTCAAAACTCCATGGACTGACCTTAAATACAGACACCTTGTCCACAACGGCGTGACAATCGTGTGCAGCGCCGAAATGTGAACCATGAAGTTCGAAGTTTGAGTGCCCGCGTACTAAAGCACATATATTCCACTTTACAAAGTTTTAATGGGCGAAATTATGTATATCTGCGGTGCTTGTAGACCAGATGTAAGTAATTCACTTTTTGACACAGGAAAAGGCAGCTGGTGTGTATCTTTTTGTAATATAATAAAATGTAACTCTCCCACCCACCCTGCTTCATACACTTTCGCCGCCCATATATCGAAACATCATAATCTCCTTCTTCGTGAATTGACCGTACTATGGAAAATGTGAACGTCAGCACACATGACAGTTTTGAGTTAATAAGATCCATGACCTTAGCGAATCAATGATTTCTCTCTTGCTAACAAAGAGAATTATGAGTGGAATTAGTTACCGATTTTGGTGCATTCAGGAGCAAGACTTACAAACTCTCATCCATCCCTATGGCTTATAATAGCCATGTGTTTACCCAGAGTCTTCCTCAAGCCATTAAGAGTGCTTCACATGGAAGGATAGTCAATGGTGGAGGGGAATAATTTGTTTCCTTCTGAAACAATATGGTATTCCCTTAAAAACAGCTGACACGTCTTCAACAATCCTCAACTATAAGGGATGAAAGAAGTTATTCGACTCAATTGAACTCCAGTCGTTTCACCACCAATGGTCTATTTGTTTATCCGTGTAGACTGAAACAGATGGTGATTAGTATAATTTTTAAGGAATAAGAGCTCGACAGTTTCTCTGTGGTGTCGTTACACACTTCTGCACTCCCTTAAAATCATTGCCAACAAATGCATCTTCCAGCAGCCGTAGGTGTTGTATTTTCCTTTTGCTGTTTTTGGCGGTGTCAAGAGCGGTCTGGCCCTTAGGTTATTTGTGACAGATTAAACAGTCAGCGGGTATTGCGGCAAGTGCCCAGATCTTGCAGGGCAGGCGGTCACACAACAGTAGTGAGAGTTATTTCTGGCTGAAGCCAACCGGAAGCGAGCTCGGATCATTGCAAGCAGGTTGACTAACTGCCTTCCCACAAAATTGCAAATCACGGTGTCAAGAGGAATCCAGATATGTTTCACTTAAGGTTCGAAATATCTTGGTGATTTCTACCGGCCTTCCGTTTCAAGAGTTTTAGACCCATGAAAGCCCATCTGACCTATTGCAAACTGGAGGTCAAACTTTGACATGAATCACACAACAAGTCATTGAAACCATGTACTCACCCGTAGGGCTTTCTTCGTTTCACGATTTAGGTGGCAAATCGAGTTTCTGGTGGAGACCTTTAGAACTTTGTGGTAATATTTAAGTGAATGGTTAATCCCGAAGAGAAGAAATGTCTGGGTGAATCAGCATCCTAATGACTGCGTGATATCTGGAATTCTGGTCCGATCTGATAGTTGATAAGAATAAATTCTTCTGTCTGCATTTCTCGACGGCGTTTGGGAGTTGTCTTTTACTTAATTCGTAACCTAAGGATCTGCCCTAGTATGTCTGTTTGGCCCAAATCTTGGACATTATAGGAGCATAGCAGCGAATAGAAAATACGTCAAATTATTATTACTGCAGATAGTGTGTAGACATTGAGGAGGGACGAAGTATATCCGAGGATCTTACTCATCTCAGGCGATTGGTCGCGGAAATCGAGTGTAAGCCCGTAGATGATAGTCGATTATCCCGAATTGTGGTGTTTTATGGATGGCTAGACTCGAACCTTCTAGGTGACCTGTGAGTGGATTGCGGTTGAAACCATTTCGCTGAGGTAGGGTAACTTTTAACTTTTCGCTGGTGTACTGTTGGTTTCGGACTGCATTTTCTAATAACTGGAAGTGAACACGGCGTGGTGTATCAATGAGTGTCATTTATAAAACTGTCCATCTCGACCATATTGCACGGGAAGTCAGAACGACCACCATCTGTATGGGAACACAAGTGGAGGAGTGGCGTCCACGATTCAGTGGAAGTAGAGCAACCATGATAGTGTCTACCCATGGTCCGGGTACCCAAACTCTAAGTTCCAGATTATCACCTCTCCATATTCATAGTGAGAGGGAGTGTGTCACCACTCTCCCTACAGGGAAAAGCCTCTAGATTGCTGGTAGTTAGAAAGTGGACTGCTTGCGTAGGGCCTGAACAACATGGTATCATGTTGCCACTCGGATGCAGTAATTAATTGAGGGATTCGAGGGGATAAGAAGATTAACCAAGCGGAAACTATACCTTCTTCACAATTTATCATGCTTTCCTTATCCAACAGAAAATCGAAACCTTTCAGTCTGTTTGACTAGGTTTTTCCCCGCATGACCTTCCCCCTGTCGTGCTCTCGAAAATAAACTTCATACACATATTTGGTCTTCAATAGTTTTACGAACTGTCATTCGATGATTTGAACCACTATTTTGATACGAAAGTCGGTATCTAAATTGGTGAGCGTGTCTCATTTACATCCGCCCTCTGCTTCTATAATAGTTGATCATGGTCTACATATACATGTGTTTTGCTGTTGTTTGTTTTTCGGATTCGCCGATTGTTTTGCTGATACTCATCACTACTTTGACTTACACAGTACCACTTTTGAAAACAACAGGTTAAGGGATGTGTGTTTTCAGTTACCTTATGTGATTAGAAACGAGGCAAAGGACCTTATAATCCCTTCGTACTGAGTGAACAAATATAGACCTTGAGTGATAAGTTACTTCCCTATGCCAGAAAACCGGAGTATACAACGGTTGTTTTAAGCCGAGTACATGGGAGATGAGTCAATGTCACAGTTCTTGCACCAGTTGCAATAGCTTGTAGTGGACGGCGCAGTGGCTGCAATGAAGCAGGGTTGGATGCTATCGCTCCAGGAATATGTGCAACAAGCAATGCAGGCCTATCCAAAAATAATATACTCACATGTCATTGCTTACGACAATACCGAGGTGATATTTGAACTGTTTAGCGAGCACTTCACCAGACTATAGACCTTGGAGAACGATCAGGTCGTGGATTTCCCACGTTAAAGAGATAAAAGTGAGGTACTTTTCACCACACAAGAGATAGATGAGGCTATGGCAAATCTCAAGCTTTGTAACACTCCAGGTCAAGATGGTCTATCTTCCATTCTGCTGAAAAACGGTGGTAATTACATGAATTTACACCTACTCAAAATATACTCAACTTCACCAAGCGGTGGGACATATCCTACTACCTGGAAGAAGTCTTGTATTTTACCCGTTCATAAATAAGTGCCTTTAGCTGATATCAACAACTACATGCCAATTAGATTATTTTGACTACATTACACAATGCACTGATAATGGTCGTTCAGTAGGGACATTATTTTTCGACGTTAGGAAGCCTTTGATCAAGTCCCGCATTTCCGAATCCGTCAGCCAACTCTCATAAACCGTCAATGTCCAGCTCTTGCTACGCTGGACCTCACGCTGTCCCCAGAAGACTTTCAGAAACGCTTTGTGTTAACCAATGCGAAAACCAAAACACTGGTTGGCGACTCAAGAATCCTTTATTCTTACACCAACATGTAACCAACAATAAAGTTATTACACACAAGGTCTAAGAATAAATGTTATAACAATAAATCACGATATTGCTTCTGACAGTTTTTAATCTTCCTTCTGAACAGCGAACGATGAGACGATGACTGATGGATTGGTGACCCACGAAAAATATGGAGGAGTTGGGTTTGAGCGAACAACCATGAATTGATCGTTCAATCTTCAACTACATTGGCACTCCTCGGCAGAATAGGGGTCCTTCCCTTTTTCCATCACGGCCAATACACGTTGACTTGGACGCCATTGCGAGGACCTGGGTCACGCGGACATAGCTGAAATGAAAAACAAACGGAAAGGCCAACACACCACAGCACAATCTCACTCATCCACGACGACCTACGCCTTCCAGTTATAGGCATACCCTTGACACCATAGCTGCACCCCATGATACTCTTCGCACATCTTATCTATTCACTACCAATTACCGCTGCGATCTCTTGTCACCCATTCTGCCTCAGTTCTAGTGACGGTAACGTATGCAAGCCTCAGTCGTCTACACTCTCGCTCCCCGGCGTGTGGGGCCACACCTAATCATTATATTCCTGCGCATGTCATTCTCAGCACTAGCCTAGCCTCCCCGTCGTATACGACCCATCTGCTGTCTTTAACATCAATCAATTCATTCACGGATGTGGAAGACTAGAAACAACTTCGGAAGTAAGCACGACCAAAATTTTAACAAAATTATGCAATACGACAAGGTTCGAAAACAACGAGTAAACACAATGAATCCAAACACAAAATGATATGACACACCACACGTATATACAGACAGTACGAATAACCTCGCCGATCATATCTCGATGTAATTCCTTTGAAGAATTGCAGGACTTACACCAGTACGCCTACAACCCTTCTCAGTTTGACGCCCAAGAGGAGAAAGGTCCGAACGCAAATATAATTAACCAACAGATTAACAATTACCCTCTCATACACACTTGGCTTATCCTCACTAAATTTAGCATTGACTTTCCTCTATCAAACGGACCGATACTAGCATAGTCACAACGCAAGACACGTGAGTTCATGGACGTCCCTTTCATTGTGGATGACAACACCAACGGTGACTGACTGATACCAGTCGATGAACCTTTAGAAGGTTGTCTAACTGCAAGATTACCACTACTGCTGTCTTTTATTATTAGCTCCAGTTTAGCATTAGCATCTGATGATAGGTGGGCTACGCGCTGATCACTCACACTGACGGTCTCACAAGTTTCCATACCTCCTACAACTGCATCTGCCTTTAATTCTACTTCACGTTCAAGTTGTACAGGACGTTTGTTCAACTCAGCAGTAGTAGGCATTCCGTTCATCTCATCATGATCAACCAAAGGCAAAAGTGCACTATCATGATCATTACCACAAATATCCACTTTACCGCCGCTTGTATGATCGACTACATCGTCTTCAAACTCTTTAATGACAACAGTAGATGATTTGGTTTCTTCCTCACAAATCCTTACAGGTTCTATACCTTTATTCTGAATACTAATACCTTGTAAACTTGTGGAGTCAGAACTGGACTCTGAAACTGTAACTCTCTTATCCTGCA